TTTAGCAGTTTTGTTTTTGCAGATGAGGTCTCAAATCAATAAATAATCTTGGCCAACATCTGTCTGTCAGCTCCTAAGCTGGAAGCATAATGAATTCTGTAACCCATTACATAAACACTGAAAAATGACAAAAATATCTTTTATACAGACTATGCAGAAAAAAAAATGCTATGCCATATTACCAATTATTTTACTACCTCCATTAAAAAAAAAAAAATTAGGGTTGTTTTGTATCATTATTTGAAGTTATACTCCATACTGTGGAATCGTATTTTACAATGTTGAACTGTGGGTATAATATAGCTACCTGAAAGGGAGGAGAAGAAAAAAAAAAAAAAATCTAAACTTAAGATATTGCCAAATGCTACAGATTTAAGGTGTGAAATGTTGATGTTTTCCAGAGGTAGAAAATTAGTGCTTTCCGGTGTAGCCTTTCAGACAGGCCATGCCTTCAAATGAAGGCTGTGAAATGACAGCTTATTCTGCACCAAAGCAGTGAGATAAGGGATGTCAGGACCGATCAGAAAATGAAAAATTTATGTAGCAGAGTTTGTGTTGTGTCTGGCCTCTTCCTCCTTGCCCCCTGCCAGGAAAACAAACAAACAAACCCCAAAAAAACCAACAACAACCCAACCCCCAAAAAAGTGGTAGTTTGGAGTCTCTTCAGGCTCATGAGCAAGTTGCTAGGAAGATGGGTTATTAAACAGTATGGGCAACGTGGTCAAAATATGTAACACAGTGTATCTTATGGCATTGTTGTTCGCTGTTAGATACCTAACATGTATGTCCATGGGTGCAAATATTTTGGATATACACAGCTGTAATTGTATGCACAAATTCTGGTTACAGCTCTAAACAGTATTTGAAGTGTAAGAGATGAACTGTGTTAAAAGATTTCAAGTTTATAAGAGCGGAGGTATTCCGAGCGGGTCTTGCTATAATTATTATTTGTACTGCATTACTTCAATGCTATTGCTACCTTTGTTTCTGGAAAGTGGATTAAAACCCAATGGGGGACATGGTAATTGCTATTTAAATGGTGAAAAGTTGCAGTGCTGTCATGGCAATTGCTCATTGTTTTGTCTTGGTCCTCTGACATCATTGTCCTTGTCTTTTTCTTGTCTCTGCTTTCCCATTATGCCATTGGCAAGGAGTTGAGAAGTTAGTCCATTACTTCTGTGATAAAGCGTGGTACAGTACAACTTCAGATTTCTTCCCATCTCCTCCTCACGCATTTTCACTGTTGGTTTTTTTTGCCTTATGCATGATGCATGTCTATCGGAGATGTGCATGCAGTTCTCAAATTTCCCATTGCTTCACTTCCTTCGTTCCTCAAAATACTGCAGGGAGAGAAAATGCTTTTATTTCATTCTACAGCGGTATCGTATAGGGAATAGGGATGGGGATTGAGGTTAGAGGTAGCGAATAACCAAAGCAAAACCAAAGGGAATTTTAAAGTAGTGATATTGCGATGAATATCACTGTCATGACCACATTGATTTAACTTCTTTATCCGTATAACATACTTGTCTCTGTTTTCGAACACAAAGCTCATACAGGCTTAGTGGTTCAATAACTGTGTAGTAATGGTAATCCTCTTCGTGGATATGTTGTCATTTTTCTCTGGATGATGTAACAGCCAGGTTTACTTGAGAGAAGTAAGAGAAAAATCTCTAAAGTTAATGCGGTAGGGACTGTAACTTAGTAATTTTGATTAGTGCATCAATACCTACAAGTCTTTGAAGCTTTTGCTGGTACAGAGAAGTGTTTCTTTGTTGTGCAAAAAGGAGCTTGTGCCCAAAGCGTTTTGTCCAATGCACTTTCAATTTGGGGAGAACTCATTTTCTTCAGTTACATTGCACTTGAAATGTTTTAGAATCCAACTTTACATTTTAGGACCATCCCAAGGGAATGCAGGTGTTTGTCTGCCTGAATATTTTCTTTATGGGACAAAAATAGAAGCCTGGCTAGCATGACAGTCTACACCAAGTCATGGTCTGTCCCACCCCGAAACACTTTCAGAAGTGCACTCAAAGCAATGCAGATGACAAACTTTTTTTTTTTGTTAAGACTTCCATGAAATAAAATACTATGTCTAGGAGGTGGAATGCGTCTTTGTCTTTCTATTTCCCCTCCTTCTCATGATGGAATTCACCGAGTACTAGTCCTTCTGCTGGCTGCTTTTTGGACTGATAACATGGTCATAATTTATTAATACTTCACTTGTAAAAGGAAAACTTGCGCATAAGGCCAAGATATAAGCTGTGGATGAAGATAATGCAGTTTTCAGTGTTAGATACCTTGTGAACTCTTACTTGCATATTTTGGAAGTGGTGTTTCTCTGCTTTCAGCATCATCTTGAATGTTAAGGCGTGTAGCAATTTGAAGAGGTTATAATCGGTAATCATGATAATTAGACAGAATATAGAAAGTAGAAATACAAAATTAGAAAATAGTACAGTATTTAAAACGACTTAGCAAAGATGATACCATAGCTTTAGTGTCCTCATAATTCTGAGCATGTAGCTGTTTTCTACCTCTGAATTGCTAACTTTCTGGGTAGTAAGCTGCTTAGACCTTTTTGGGTTATGAAGGATAATGAGGAAAATAGGTATTTGGCTATTTTTATATTTAAAATGCATAATTGTCCAAATGGAAAAGCTCAAATAATACCTAGCTTTTGTCAAAAGAACTCAAAATAGCATTATCGAAAGTTTGCTTCTTTGCTTTATGTCAGGTAATTTTGTGTTTAACTCAAATTTCCATACAGATTTAGTTTCTTCTGTAAATTAGAAATTTTTCATTTTGCTGATTCATAATTAGGATTATTTGATACAAAGTTAGGATTTGCAACACTCAGATTAGATCTTTATCTGCATTTTTTGAAGATGAGCATTTAGAAACCCTTTCTAGGTGAGGGGAAAACCTTTTCTGACAATTGTTTTACATATTAGAATTTGAACCAGTACTGTTTGCTATAAACATACTAATTTTTGACTTCAATTAGGATTAGAAAATTTGAATTATTTGTTGCAAGTATTTGTATGGGAATCAGGTACATAGTACTTTGGTTTCTGCACTCATTTTTAGCAGTTTTGTTTTTGCAGGTGAGGTCTCAAATCAATAAATAATCTTGGCCAACATCTATCTGTCAGCTCCTAAGCTGGAAGCATAATGAATTCTGTAACCCATTACATAAACACTGAAAAATGACAAAAATATCTGGAGGATTCATTTTTTTTAAGCTGTAACTCTTTTAATGTATTGAATTATTAATTGTGTTTAGTACTTCTTTCTTGTAGGATTGCTTGGTTCAGAAGGATTCAGAAAATTAGGCTAGTTTTGGTCACGTAAGGAATAATGTTTTGATACTCATTTGACACCACTTTGAAGGCTTTTTTTCCCTTTTTTAATTCTCCTCCTCCCTCTTTCCAAAGCAATCGTTTTCAGACTGCTCAACATGTTTGCACGTACCTGTCTATCGCTTGCTGATGTTGCTGGTCCGGTTTAGACGTTGCCTTTGCTTACAGGTAGAACCGGTATATTGTAAAGGGAAAAACTGCTACTAAATCATCATTAGACTGAGAAACCTTGACGTTTCTCTCATTACCATTCATTTTTTTTCTTGATGAGGAATTTTGAGGATTCACTTTTCAGTAGTAATCCTGCCAGGAAAAAGATGAAAAGCTTAAAGAATCTTGAGACGTGCTGTCATCCCAGCAGTGTGGCAGGACATTGGCACGCGCAGCTATCCTTACATCTTGCCTGCTGATTCCAAGAAGAGCTAAAAAGACCAGACAAATAATTGGCTTACTCACGAGAGTGACTGCAGTGACATTTCTAGTCAAATCTCTTGAAGACAAACATTGCTTCTTTTTTACTGACTGTATTTTGCTAGTAAACAAATATTATAAGCCTGTTTACTAGGTGCATGCAATCTATCAATTGGTGAGAATTCAAGTAGTTTAGGGATGAGACTAGCTTGTGGTAGTTTGGTTACCCCCCTTTATAAATGATAAAATCATCCAAACCTGAAACTTGTTAAAAAGGTTAAGTTTTAATAGATTTTGGGTTTTGTTATGAATTGAAGAATGATTAAAAATTCTTCCAAGTTCTGTATAGAAGTTGCCGGTCTAGGATATGTTTGTGAAGCTAGCGCACACATTAATCTTTAAAGTCTTTTTACAGGGAAGAGCAAACAGAAAATAGAAATGACCCAGGAGAGGTACCGGCAAATTCTCTTGTCTGATACATATCTGATCAGATTGTATCTTCCGATAAAATGTAAAATCTTCATTAAGTTATCCCTTGGTCATCAGTGTAGTAGTCCATGATCTCTGGCTTCACGTGTACTCTGTTGTACTGCTTTGTTGAAGATGGTTTCTTTATCGGCCCACTTGAAATCCATTCAAGATGAAGCAGTTACCCAAGTCCAGCCAGTAGCCGAATTACAACGTACCTGTATCAAATTTTCTGATCTCAATAAGGCAAGGAAATTGCACTGTAAATTCATGTGGTCCATTGAACTCCTTTCCTGCCTGTACAGTATAGGACATCAATAAAAGGTTTGGGATAGTTAACTTGAGCATGCAGCGAATAGAAATTAAGACGGATGCAGTCTGATAGCCGTTGCATTTGTTTATTAAGCACTCGAGTCAGAATTGATCGGTACTTGGGTGCCATTCTTACGCTGTCCTGCAGATTTAGGTGAAACCATCAATGATGCCTTTTCAGTGTTTCTTTTTTTAAGTTAATCAGTTTCTTTTTTGTCTTTACGTTGTTACGTATTTCAGTGCTGGTATAATTTTTTTCCACTTAAGTTACAAGTCACATTTGTACATGTCCCATGAACCATCCTGTTTTGCCAAAGTAAAAGTTTTGATTTAAATAAAACAGATATACAGCCCTTATCAAGCATCCAGTCAGCGCACGTTGGACTCAGAACGTTACCTGGTGTTTTCTTTGCCTAATATATTACTGTATTCTTTTCTCGTTAACAGCCTCAAGTACTACAGCCTTCCAGCAGCCTTCCCAGTTCCACAGACCTCGCCCAGGGAAAACTAATAAAAATGCCACATATCGAGGCCCACAGTGAATATCCTAAACATGGTCTGCATGAAAATAGCAATCATCAGAATCAAAATGCTGCAAATCTCTCTCTCACAAATAGCCTGAATGATGGAAACACTTTAATGAGCATACAGTTAAACATAAAAAATGAGAATGCATCATATTTGGAAAATTTGAAAAATAAAAATACTGAAGACCCTGGAGAGGTGGCTAGTAATAAAGAAGGTACATTACCGTCTCGTTCCTGTTTTCAGACCTCTACACGAGCTGATGTTAGAGAGGTGCAGACTGAATTAGCTGTGAAAGGTCAACCCTCACTCACAAACCAGGCTTCTCGGCCAAAGACTTTAAGAATTGCAAAGCCCCCAAATGCTTTAGTGCCTCCTACAATGGCCGTTCTCGCACGATCTGCAAATCATTCCGCTGCTTCCAAGGAACCTGAATTTCTACCATCAAGTAGTTCGACTCAGCTACAGCCAACATCTGGTCAGGATAACCTAAAGGGTAAACAGAGTCAGAAAGTGTCCAAACTTCGTCCACCAACGATGTCCTTTATTAAATCGAAGGAAACGAGCAGTCAGAAATCCACGCCAGTATCTGCAGAGCCTCAAAACGCCTGTTTGAAGACTAACATCCCAAAGCCACCGGTACAGAGAAAGGAAATTGTGCAAACACAGAATACCGGTTCGCACGCTGGCATACCTACATCTCCTTGAATTACATTAAATACATTAAACTACTTCCTCTGTGTTGACTGCCTTTGAGGCTGCTTTGTCTAAGGCTGCAAATCCTGAGTGAATATTAAAAACAGCATCTTTCTTTAGTGTTTGCATACTCCATCCTGTTATGTTTCGAGGTCTGTGTTATGAGCTGTGCAGCTTCTCTTGAGAGTGTTTTATTATATCGTAGGTCTTGGTAATTAAGCAAGTGCTGAAGTCTGTGGTGACCACAAATACCAGAATGCTGCACTATGTATCTCAGGATGGCAGAAATCGTTTCTTACCTCTGTTGATTTGAGTTGTTAGACAATGAAATTACTGTTCAGCTTAACTTCTTGATTCTGAGTACTCGTTAGGTTAGAGTGGTGGAAAATTAGACTTACTAGCAGATGTTTTATTGGCCATAATTCTGACTCTGTATTCCAGAGGCCTATGCAAAAATCCTTGTATTTATCATTATCTCAAGACTGACATATTTAATGTTATTTAATCTGATGGGTTGGGTGGGTTGTGTTGTTTTGTTTTGCTGTAATCTGAAGTTGCTCTGTTCTTTATTTATCCCATCTTCACTGTTCACAGACACTAAGCAGATTTCACAGGGTGAAACGAATCTTCTCGCTTAAACATCATCATTTCTTAAAAGATTGTGGTATGTTTTTATTGTGTTGAATAGACACATTACCGGGTAGATTCTTGAAACGCAGTGCTAAGGATATTTGTGCAAAACCTTCCAATATACAGGCTCCAATGAATTGGTAAGTAGGGAGCCTCTGGGAATTAGGGGTCCATAACACCTATGTCGAGGTTGCACAACATGCATTTTAATTAATATTTTTAACTTTTATTGTATTACTTGTATTTATTGATTTCTGTTTAATATTGAAAGACTCTAAAGTACCTGACTTGAAATTTTGCACAAACTTTGCCATATATGTAAGGATTTGAAACTATTTTACAGAATAAAACTTGTATTAAAAAAACAACTATTTAAAAAAAAAAAAAATTAACCCCACTTACTTGCTTTGAGCAATCTTATTATGTCCTAATCCAGAGCTGGTACTCTTTAAGAGTTTTTCAGAGATGTGTATTTTGGTTTTGGGTTTTTTGTAATTATTTTTTTTTATTATTATTATTATTTCTAAAGAAGTGCATGATAACTGGGAAGGAGCTTTTGGGGGAAATAAAGAAAAAAAAGAAACATTTTTCTACTCTCTAGGAAAAATATTTTTTCTGAACGTGGTCTGGAAATACATGCTCATCATGGTGCAACTGTGGGACCATGACACATGGTGCTGTGAGTTAAATATAGGCATATCCAGTGAAGCTTTCCAGATACTTTGTGTTATGTCCCATCTCCAGTTCTTCCCTTCTTTCCCATCACTGTCTCTTGGAAGTTACCAACTGGGTTGGTTTTTTTTTTTTTTCCTGTTCTTTGCAATTGGTTTTAAAATCAGCAGCAGAAGACCTTTACAATAACTTTGCTCAAAATCTGTTCTGGAATGGCATATAATGTCAGTAACGTGAAATATAGTAACAGTTTGTTCTGGGCTTTGGCTATAGGACGTTGACATATTACAGTATTTTCTTTGAGAGAATTAAAATGAATAGGTATAGACATTTCATAAATAAGTTCAATTATCAGCTTCTGTAATATAAGCTATTTAACTGGGAGTATCCTGATGGATACCTTAGTTGGATGGGAGAAGGAAAAAAATATAATCATCTCACCTGAATTTCTCAGTACGTAATTAACGTCCAAGAAATTTTGTGGATTTGTCGCACTGTAAATTCTTTTAACTGCCAATGAAGTGGAGAAATTAAAAGCTTAGGGGGGAGAGGGGGGGAGGAATGGGTAGTGGGGGAGGTTCTATTTCAGAGCTGCTTATGTCAGTCTGAAATAAGAGACCTGCAGGGCTTCCTGTTAACGGGGGCGAAGACAGTGTAATCAAGAAATACCAAGGGTAACATTAATTGGTACAGTTGATACAGGATCAAATTAACTACAATTCAAGATTGGTCTAGCAATTATCCTTCAGGAAAAAATCTGTCTTTCCTTGGAAAGCGTTGAATTAGATGGCCTTCAGTGTAAGCATTTACTTTTGATAAGAAAATAAAACTGACTTCTTATATTCCCCAAAACTTGCTCTGGGCAGCTAACTGTTTCTCAGGAGCTTAAAAACGGCTGAGGGAATGATCAGATTCCTGGTTCGTTTTCTGGTCCGTATAGATTTCTATGGAAGGTGGTTTTCTTAAGTTTACTTTCCTTGAAGAGAAGCTGATTTTATTTTTAGTTGTATATGATTTTGTGTAAAAAGGCGATTTTCACTTAATGCTATTGACAGAGATATTTCACCATGAGTTCTTTTGCTTGTTATTCTGGAGGTATCGCCAGCCTGATTTAAGTGATGTTAAATTTTTATGTTTACATTTAAAAGCATAGATATGTACCTATCTGCACCTTTACTGAAAATTAAGGAACGAAGCAAAGAGGTGACCAGGTTTTTTCATAAAAAAGAAGATAGTTCTTAATTTATTTTTCTCCCAGAAGAACAAAAATTATTTATTCTGTGGGTTTTGGGTTTCTTTCCTGTGTTAAAGGAGCATAAGTAGATTATATTCTTGGTTATAGCATTTCCCCCTTCTGTTCTGGCAGATGGGCTGGAGGCAGCAGGATTTGATGGTGGGTGAGAACGGTGTGAGCCTCGGTTGTATTTGTATTCGGCTGCTGACCTCTCATCCCTCTAAAGACATCTACCTAGTGTGGCTCTTCAGACTTTACCAGGGAAGGCTCTGTTGCATGTCTAGTAAGTCCAGAGTATGAGCAAAGCCTGTCAGTAGATGGGCAACTGGAAGAGAAGTGGTGAAGTGAGGTTTGAAGCTTCATGTCAGTGAAGGACAGGGGTCGGGGGGAGACGGATACAAGGGTGCTGTGTAGAGCTTGTCAGATGGAATTAAGTATTTCCAGGTAACGTATCTGCTATATGGAAGGTGCAGATATATCATCAGTACTGGTGCAGATTATCCTAAATGCGTAAATTAAAGGATTTGATATCTTCAGGGTTTTTTTTTTTTAGGTTTCTAAAACTGGTTTGTTGCCATTTTTTTTGTTTCTGATTTCTTTTGTGCAATATTCACAAAAGTATTAAACTACTGTTCAGTATGTATGTATAGAGGCAATTCCGCATTTTAACAAGTGAATAAACACAAAGGAAAAAAAAAAAACAGAATTGCACTTTAAATGAGCTTCATTGCTTGGAGTTGTGCCTAAAATAATCTAGATGCCTCCTGCTGTGCGTGGCTTTCATTTGAAACTAATTTCCCTGCTAGTGTTGCTGTTTCCAAGGTATCTTCACATCACTTTCACAGAATCAATATGCACTCTAGCATGCTTAAAAATATGCATATAGTGTACTGAGTTTTTTGTTGTGCAATGACTTTAATTTAACTGTGGAATTTTAGCACTGATGATGCAGCCAGATGATTGATTACTTTCCCCTTCCCTGAAGCTCACGCTTCCTACTGCCAATCGAGGCTGGTGGCAAAACTTCCCTAGGACTAGGACAGCCCTTAAAGAATAATGTTCCCAGCGTATGTTTTTGTTTGAGGAAAGAAGTGCAATATTACCTGTTAGACTTTCTCGAAATAATCAAAGGCCCTGAAAACCCAAAACAGCCCTGAATTTTTTCATAGGGTTCCAAAAAAAGTGGGTTCCCCGACTTAAATCTCACAGCAGTGAGACTAGACATAGCAACTAGACTGCATCATAGGTCAGTAAAATTCATTTCATCCTTGATCTAAATGCTGATTTGCTGTAACGATGCTAGAAAACTGACTACCATTTGCGTGATTTACTTTGTTTGCATGTCACAACCATATGCACATCCGAAAGTGTCATACTTGGGTAGCTTGCATGTTGGGGGGGAAGTATTTCTGTTCCTGCACAACACATAATCCTCTTAATATGGACATTTTTCTTGCCATACAAATGGAAATCTGTTCCTGAATCAGGCTTCCGTAGCTATTCCTTATCTCGTTGTAGTGGCTTTTTCTGAGCAGAGTGGATTTAATACATGATGCTGGTGGTAGGTCTCAGTATAGTAATCTTACAACTGTGCTATCAAGGGAATTCAGTCACTGTTGTGGTAAAGCTGCTCACTGCCTACTTAACTGTAAAAGCACCACAATAAAACCAATCTAATTCCAGTGTCGGCAAAATCTTAAATTCGATACTAACGAAACCGAGAGGTACCCTTACTATCTGCTTTGTTGTTTTTCTTAACCCAGGCCAGAGTAAATACTGTATATTGGAATTTGCTTGTAAAGTTGATTTAGAAACCTGTATGTAAAAATTCTTTCCTCAATGTTGCTCTAAT